GTGATCTCTCCTCTCGCGAACGATAACAGGTCGATCGACGTGCGCGTGTGCGCGTGTGTATGTGTCTGTGCGGTGATCGAGGGAGCGGAAATCGAGGGCTGGTGACGCGGAAGAATACCCTCGTAATTGTAAACTGAGCGACTATCGATCCGGTTTGGCGGGGAATTTGGCCCAATAGGAATCGTTCCTCCTCGATTTTGGGGATAAATGGCGAAACGATGGAAGAGGATGATGGAAACATCTCCTCTCTCCTCGTGAAGGGATGGATATAGAGAATTGAATGAATTTTGGGGAAAAAATGAAATTTGTCGTGAACTCGTCGAAGATTGTAGGAAATTGAAGTGAAATGATACAATTGATACGGTTATACGGAGATAGGGATTTTTGTTTATGGGAGGGGAAATCGTGGAAAGGGGATGCAGCGATTTGAAATTGGGAATTTTTCGGTTTGTAGATTTTCTAGTGAATTGACCGTTTTGATAAAATATTTTGAAAGTGTTGGAAGATTTTCTAGAAAGTGATTGTTGGAAAGTTTGAAGAATTTGCGAAAGGAAAATATAGATAAAAAGGAATTTGGAACTGATGAAATTGTTTAAATTTTGTTGAGATAACTAATTGAAATTTTTTTATAAAAGTTGAACGAAACAAGATTTATAGGCAATTTTAATAAGTGTTACAATTAACGGTGTTAAAACAAATTTTTAAACAAACAAAAATTAAAAAAATAACAAAAGGACAAAATTTTAATAAAAAGCCGAGAAACTGTTGAATATTAAGAATTGATAATAAATTGACTGTTTTAACGAAATTAATAAAATAATATTATTTTAACGATATTAAAAAAAAAAGTTTAAACAAAATTAGAAAATTTTCAAAAAGAAGATATGTTAAAAGCAAGATGGAATATTAATAGTAAAAGGGATCTTTGGAATTCGTTAAGCTCTCAAAGTTAGAAGAAGAAACAATAGCCTGAAATTTTCCGAATACTTAGGAAAGCTCGTTAAAGTGGAAAAGGAAAGAGAAGCTTAAAGTCTGTAACTATCTAAAAAGGAATTCAGAAACTCTTTAAAGATTGTAACAAGAAAAAGAAAAAAAAGAAAGATATTGAAACTTTCTCATCTGTCAAAGTTTGTCCATCGTATGAGATCGATTATTATAAAAAGGAGTACCATTATTTCGTCCATTATCTGAATTATTCTTCTAAAATTCGAATTCGACATTTAACAAAAAAGATTATTTAATTTTTTTCAAAGATTCGAAAAGGGATTTCAGGAACCTTAGATTGATTAAGAAACAAATTCTAGAAAATTTTATGGAAATTTGAGAGATTCACAAATTCAAATTATTAAAGGAAAAGAAGGAAACCCTCGTAAACTTAATAATAATTAGGCAAAGAGAGATTTGGAAGAAGTTCTAAAATAAATAAATAAAGCAATAAAAAAGACTCCTCTGTTATTTAATCTAAGAAAATAGTTTCTGAGAATTGGGAGGGGGTGGTTCGAGGTGCTGCTCGATCGCGAATAATTATTCTTATTAAAATTCTGCAATTACCAGACCGTGTGAAAATTGCCGTGAAAGAAGAGGGAAAATTAATTTAAACGAACGGGCAAAGCGTTTCTCTTTTATTAAGAGATAAAAATTATCAAAAGCAATAACTGTACGGTGGAGCAAGCTGTCTGAAAATGTTCCTTTATACCAAAAACAATTAAAAACCGATCGTTATTTAAGATTAATCTAAATACAGAAGAAAAGATTAGAAAAATATCAGAATCAAAAGTAAATAATAATAACTTGAACAAGTTATTTTGAAAATTCAAAATAAAAAATTCCCTTAATTTCTTTCTCTCCTCTCGAGTGAATCGACGAATTGGCGCGTCCAAAAACCTTTTTTAAATTGGGAGAAGGTTAAACGAAAGGGTGGAGAGTCTCCAGTGGGCGAAACATGAGGGAGGAACCGATAGAGCAACGTCAGCAACGCGTCCTCACGATAAGCGGAAGTAAGAATCGTAGGAGTCGAAATTTCTTCCGAAGAGGACGATGAACGAGGGCGCCATTGTCGACAATTCGAGGCGGAAGTGGATGCCTGCTCGGACATAGGGAGGGGGAAAAAACTATCCTCTTGTAGGATAGTTTAAATGGGATTCGGGGTTGAAATCTCGTTTCAATTTTCAAAAGAGGAGGGGGGGTCGAAATTAGCGGCAGAGGGGGAGAAAAAGGTGGTAGAAATAATTGGACCGGAAGTGTCCTGGGACAAGGAGAGGGGCGGTAATGGAATTTCAATTCCGATCGAAAGTTCTTCGATCAAAAATTTCTATCCCTCGATAATAATTTCGAGGAATTTATTAACGCCCTGCTAAGCGTGAAATCGCGAGCAAGGGGATTTATATTCAGGAAATGAAGAAACTTTTCTTCTGGAAAACGAAAACTAGTGGAAAACCAGTTATCGAATCTTAATATTTCCAAGTGTATTTATTCCCCTCAGTGCGTTTATTCCCGAAAGAAAAAGGGGTGCGCGGCTCTCGAAACGGAGAACACTTCTCTTCTGAGAAGTTATTCGAGGACTTCCTGACGAGAATCGTCGATGAGCCAATCTTTGTTTAAGACATACAGTGGACATACAGTGTGAAATATTGTTTAAATTTAAGGACGTTTGTAAGGATAGAGATAATTATATAGCAGCAGACCGATCAGTTTTAGAGAAGTTTCGAATTGAATGAGGAGTGAACGAAACAATAAGGAAAATCAGACGGCGAAGGTGGGTGTGAAACGAAAAGGGGTGGTGGTGGGAAAGAAAAGGGGTTGGAATCGAGAAGAGGAGGGAAGGGACGAGCTTTTGTCGCCAATGATAGCGTTTGTCGAGGGTGAATGGTAAATCTCGAAGGTGCTAATAGGTTTAATTGTTCTTTTTTGGAGGAGGAGGATTGAACGAGGAACACGTGGTGGTGGAAAAGAGGAAATAGCCCGATTTCGAAGGTAATTTTAGATAAAGGAGGAAAGATTGCAAAGGTTGCTAAACCGTTTAATTGAGAAAATTGATGGAAAAAGGAACGTGCCGAAGACTATCAGGGGGAAAAAGAAATCATTCGTCGTTTAAAAATTTCCTCTGAACATTACGATTGATCGGTTGTTTTATAATTGAGTAAATCTCTGAGCGAAATAATCTTAACCTCCGATTAAAAGCTGAATCCAAAAATTAAATTCTCCAAAAAAAAAAAAAAATCAAGAAGAATCCCTAACCCCTAACGATCTAACCTCAAAAAACTAACTTGCACTTTTCTGAAACAACCGAGCAAAAATAATTGATCAAACATACATAAAAATAAAGAAGCGGAAAAACGAACCTAACCTCAAAACCTCAAAACAAAATAAAAAAAACAATATCTTCCTTCAAATCAAACAAACAAATAAAAAGAAACCTAACCTAACCTCAAAAGAAACTTAAATAAAATCCCTGAGAGTAATATTCGACCAACCGAACGAACAAAAATACAAAGGAGAAATATACAAATATACAAAGGAGAAAGCGAATCGATCAACCATGATCCCAGGATTTCGAAAGGATCGATGATCGAATCGTTGATCTATCGATCGATAACCGCGTCGTGATGGAGGCGACCCAGGCGATCGGTATCCGTCGGTTTTCTTCCGGTGAAATCGCTTCACGAGAGTCGTTGTTCGGTGCGTTGTTCGGCCGGAAGTGGTCTGAGATGGTTCGAGATTTGGCGCGACAGCTTGCCAACTAAAATGCGAGAGCTGAACGCGACCGCATGTGCTGCCCTTTACGAGCGCGTCGAGTGGTCCGGACCGTGGATCCTGGTTACCCTGATCGTGCTCGCGATAGTGAACGTGATGGTGGTGCTGGGCAACGTGCTCGTGATACTCGCTGTCTATCATACGAGCAAGCTGCGAAACGTGACAAATATGTTCATCGTTAGCCTCGCGGTGGCGGATCTGATGGTCGGTCTGGCGGTGCTTCCGTTTAGCGCTACGTGGGAGGTTTTCAAGGTGAGGCTTCAATTCTATTCGTAATAATAATCTAATCGCACTTGTTTATCAATTTATCAATTTATCAATATTAAATTAAAATAACGTGAAATGAGTGAAATTTTGTTTTTCTCGAAGTTTAAATTTGCCGCCCTTTTACGAGTAATTATAATTTAGAAAATGACACGAAAGTAAAATGAAATGGTGAAAACCATTCTTCTTTTCGCTCGTTTTTGTTTTATTTTAGAGTGGTGTTAAATTACATTGAGAAAATGACATTTAATAAGATAAAAATGGTAAAATTTTATCTGAAAATTGAATTTATGCGAGAAAGAGTAGAAAATCATCTCGTTTTTCATTTTTCTGACGTTTGAATTTGGCGCGCAATGGCGTCCGTAAGTAATAATTACATTATAAAAGAATTTTCACACCTTTTACGTGAAAAATTGAAATTCTATTTGTGAATTTGTGTAATTTCATTTTAATCTAGCATATATCTTACATAATATGATATATTTTCTATATCAATTAAATACACAAAATTCCCCGATCTATTAATATTATCTTTATATAAGTTTCTTAACTTGGAAAATATTTGAACAAAAATCATAAATATATAGTCTATCTCTAAAATAAAAATTTTCATCCAATAATTGGCGAAACACATTATAAAAAAAGAATATCACGTTTCAAGAATATTTAATAACTTACAAATTCCAACGCAGAAGATAAAGATTCAAACACACAGTATTCATAGATATAACTGGCAATTCTCTCGAACAATTCTTTAAAAACTCTTTACAGACATATAAAAAAAACTCGATCTTTTGCATCAAAGAAAAAAAACATTTCAAAAATCCTTTTCCAGTCGCGATCGCGAAGCAATATCACGCTTTATACCTCGAAATTAAAAGCGGCTCCACGTCGAACGAATTTCAAAGAAAGACCGGAAAACACTGCACTGATTTTTCATCGTTGCGTGTCGAAACCTTTGATCTCTCGTCCGTTCGATGATTCATCGATCGTTCCTCTCTATTCTCTCTCTTTTTT